CCTCTGGGGGGCCTAAGACTCCTTTCGGGAGCTTGCTCCTCACAGGTGGAGGAGAGTCCTGCTTGTCACCGTCCTCCCACCCCACACTGCAGCCTGACAAGGTCTCCCCACCACATGGGAGGGACACACAGATTTTTGTTTGGATTTTCTGTCCCAAAGTCAGAGCCAGGCGGAAGGAGTTCCCTGGACGAGGCCAAACCCAGGCTGCAGGACCTCTTCATGGAGAGGCTGAGTATTGGATCAAGGTCAACCTAGGTGACCTTCAGGTCCTTTCCAGCTAAGAGACGGATTTGAGAAGTCTACACCACGGGTTCCCAATTGTATTTGGCCTACCACCCCCTTCTCAGGAAAAAAATATATATATAGCATCGTCCCTGGCAATGAAAAACTTCTGTAGTAAAGCCCAGAATTCAGGATAATGTGGAGACACCTGCGTATATAGCCCTCCTTGGGTCATCCCAGCGCCCCCCAGTGCCCACTTTGATAAACACTGTTCTATACAATGGCAGAAACTCCCCTTGGGGGACAACAGCCCACCCAAGTGTGATTGCTTAAAACACCAAGTCCCAGGTTAGGCCTCAACCTGTAAATACAACTGGTTACACCATCCCGGAAGGCATCAGTGAATAGGCCTTGCCACCAATGGATAGGGGGAAGGAGCCCGAGACCAGGAAAAGGCAGGACTGTATTACAGGTTTGGGGCTTGGAAACAGGTCACATGGCCACACATCAGGCCTGCCCAGTTGGCATCAACTGGGAAGGACCTCAGAACTGTCTAGCCCTCTGCCTTCTTGTAGACATTAGTCTAAGAGTCAGTGTTTGATACCTGGAGGATGTGCGTGGGCAGGCATTTCTAACCCTCCTGGACCCTAGAGTTTGGCGAGAAAGCGCTCACTAAATGCAGCACCGGGAAGCTCTGGGAATGGATACTGCGCACCCTGGGAGAAGGCAGATCTGAGAGCTAGACCAGCAGTCGTGCTTTAAGGAACTCCTTCAATAGAGCAGTGGCACCAGTAACGTGGGGGTGGGAGGAGGCAGGACTTCTGGCCTCAAGCTCTGATGAAAGGAAGCAGGCAGTGTGGAACCAGGGTCACAGAGAATCAGAATAGCTCTGGAGAGCCAGGGAAGCACAGAGCAGGAACTGTCACTGAGCCCAGAAAGTGGGCTGGACACATTGTAGAACATAGCATTTCTTTCCCTCATCTTCAGGTGTAAAGTGCTCGCTATGCTAGTCTGGTGCGTGTTAAAATGTTAGGTCAGAACTGATAGAAAAGTTCCCATTCTCCCTGGAATCACCTGGCCCGTGAAGGTGGCAGGGTCCCAAGTGAAGCCTGGTCCTGACTCCAGCTCTCTGCTTTGGGAGCACAGCTTCGCCGCCCGGCTTCATGAAGTGAGGGCCTCAGAGGCTGCCAGACGTCATGTCAAGGCTGTGATTTCCAGCATCCTTCTCAGCAAACGGTCTGCAGTGATGTGCCCAAGCACAGGGATATAGCCTTGAAAAAGCAAATGTTTCCTCGATTCTCACTCATCCTTCTCCCCAAGAACGCAGGCCTGGAGCTGACGAGTCTGCTTTGGTCCAGGGAAAAGGACAACACCTCCAGGGTCAGGTGAGCAAGATAGGAGGAACCCGATTTCCTGGCACCCTTGTAGAGTTTTCACTGCCATCAGTTGATGCTGACGAGAACGTCAACCCTATAGGACAGGGAGGAACTGCCCTTGTGAGTTTCCAAGACTGCGCCCGTTTACAGGCACAGAAAACCCCATGTGGCTCCCGTCGGGTGGTCGACCTGCCAACAGTGGGCACCGCAGCCCAACTGGGAACTACTACACCACCAACGTTCATCTTGTAGAGTCCGTAAGGGCAAAATGACATTCCGTCTAGAAGGGTCACTGGACATTTGGTTTTCTGTGCGGCAGCAGCTTAGCCTGTGGCTTAAAAAAAATTCACAGCAGAATGAAAAGGTGTCAGACAGTTCACATGACAGGTAACCCTGGAGCAGTCCATTCACAGTTCGCTTTGGCAAACCGCTCAGAGCACGATGGTCTTCAAGCACGTTCTGGCCCCACCCCATCTCCAGGGCAGAGGCCTTTATTACAGCACAGTCCAAACACAAGGTGCAGTCTGTCCAATGGCAGGGCAAGGCCAGATCCTCACTAGCCAGAGATGCAGGCTGATTTCCCCACCAAGACTCGGCAGGGACGGCCCTGTCCTATATTCCCCCAAAGCAAGAAAGGGCCAAACTTCGCCACTCTTCATCATCCCCACCCTCCAGGTCCAGCCAGGCTCCAGGTCAGAGGGGTTCCAAGATCACAAGTCACAACTGGGAACTGGAGACGAGAGAGAAGCTTCCATAGACTGTTCAAGGTTTCCGGGTCCCAAAAGCCTGGGGGTACAGCCCCTGCTCCTCCTGTGGCGACCCTTGAAGACCAAGCTCAGCCAGGTCGCTGCCAGGCACTAACGAATCCCAGCCACCGGCACCTGCTGCTGCTTGCGGATCTTGTTGAAGAGCTCCATGTACTGGACCATGGTATCTGCTGGGCCGTACACAGCATCGTGTCTGTTCCCGAACACAGAGGGAGCCCCCGGCGTGTGGCTGCCTAGAAAACTCTGCAGGAATTCAAGCAGCAGGCTCCAGCAGTCACTGGCCACGACACAGGGGCCATACTCCACCTGGAGGGGCAAAGGAACAGACTCGGGGTGAGAGAGGGCCAGAGGCAGGCAGCTGCCTCCTCTCTCGCACCTCATACCACTACCTGCTTCTATCTTCCCCAACCTGAAGCCAAAGACACACACCTTCTGGCATACTGTTGGTCCACAGAAAACATCCACCCCACACATCAAGAACTCAACACCTCCAGGATCGATCCTGGTTGGCAGTTCCGTTAATATTCTCGGAGTTGTGCCAACCCATGGGCCGCTCCAGCCCTGCCCTCCTCGCTGTAGGTTTGTGTTGTGGTTCAGCTGCGGGTTACAGAGCAGATCGCAGTTCTACTTCAGCAACTTGCACACGTTTTGCTTCAACTCATCAGTTTCCATGCCCTCAGTGTGCCATTGCTTATC